GTTTCTTCTTTTTTTAATTTTTAATTTTTATTTAATCTGTAAATATTATTCATTGTTTTCATAACCTACTGTTATTTACTACTAATTTATTAGATTGGATACCATTTTTTAGAATAGGTATCATAAAGTAATTCATAAACTGATGCTGGTCCTAGCGGATGAAGTGGTACCGGCAACATCCCTTCACAACAGATATGCACTAAACCAAAGCCTTATTTTAGCTAAAACTGTAACTTGACCGCCCGGGCCGGAGATATTTATTATTTAAATTACCTGCTTACTTACTTACTTACTTATTTGAAGTCTTTAGCGTGAAAAAAACATGACAGCCCACTGGCGTAATTCGGGCATTTTGTTAAATGTGAAGCGCAGCCATGATTTTCTCAGCGGCAGAATTTTGGCGCATAGGTATTATCGGGCTAGCATCCAGATTTTAATGCAAAACTCGAATTACACCTGGAAAGGCTAGAATACAACGCTTAAGTTCTAGTTTTGGATTCGTTCTGCAAGCTAATGTCACAATGAACTTGTCTTATTGTGCCCGAAATTTGCCCTTTCCCTCAGGGCAGGTGAAACTGTTTTAATGTCTTTAAAGGCGGGGGAAGCGGAGTCTCTGCTGGAGAATTGTGAATGTGAAAATGAATAATTTAGGCTCAAGAAATTTTGACATCCTTATGAGTCCATTGTTTGAAATTGAATTTGCAAAAAAGTTATGCTTATTGTGCAGCAACTGTGAAAGCAGTCCATGCTGCTGCTGCTGCTGAATCTTAAGATGGCGAGTGAGAAAAAGATAAAGATCACACTAAGTCTAAATGGAATTGACTTATCGCGGGCAGAGTACAACCATGTGAAAGGGCAAACACAGCCAGGCGACACATAATGCAAAAATTCACAAAAAGACAGCAAAAACCTTGGAGAGCGGGCTGTTCAAAGAGAATTGTAACAAAGTACAAGAATTAGAATTAACAAAGCATTAATCTCTTCTCTTCCTATCTCACATCCCCGCGAAGCTGCAAAGCACTCGAGTGCACACAGCCCAGCCCCTACAAGCCACTTTCTTTGCCCACTTCTGAAAACACATGCAGTGAGAACAAAAAAAAATAAAAGAAGCCGGAATAACCAAAAATTTTGATGCGATAGTTGTTTTTAAGCGCTGAGTTTGTGAGCGACGCACTGCGTCATCACCATTATCGACTTATTGTGATAACTGTTATTTCTGTTATTAATATCACTGTCATTACCACTGTCACTGCTATTATCATTATTATCAATTATGCATTATTATTATTGTTACTATTATTATTATTATTATTATTATTATTATTATTATTATTATTATTATTA